TCAAGTGGTTTAGTTTTCTACAACTGCCTCTGTCAGCCTCTCACCCTCTCACAGAAGCACAAAGGTCCTCCCACTTCCTTGAGGCTGCATTTCCTTAGGAGGCTCCCATGTCACATAAAACTTCTGCAAATCTGTAAGCTTGTCTCCTGCTAATCTGTCTTACGTGAGTCTGAATCTCAGGCTCAACCTAAAAACCCTGAAAGTGAAGGTAAAATGTGGCTTCCCTCACATTAGAGGAAGAGACAGAAGGCAGCCAGGGTGCCAAGAGGGGCTGGGCTGGACTGCAGCTCCCCAGGCGCCCTCACCCACAGCACCTGACGGAGAAGCCCTTGCTCTTGTCCCTATGTGGCAAGGACAGAAAGTCGGTACGTGGGAAAATATCAGACTTGCGGGGAAACAGTGCTGGAGACCACAGAAGCCTTCTTCACCTGGGCGGGCAGGTGGCTAAGGCAGCGCAGGTAGGCTGAGGTCTCACAGGCAAACAGGGATCAGGCGGGGACATGGGGTGGAGCGTGCAGCCTTCCAGATCATGAATGTATGGTGGCGTACAGCATACGACTGCTTTTCCCACCGTACCTGGGACGTTCTCCACAGTGGCACTTTACACCTCATTCATGCCTGTTTTTGAAGCTTAATATAAAAAATGCTGGTATTACACCATTTGAATGTCTTTCAAGGATTACAATGCCATTATCTGATTAGATGCTGGAAATTCTGTCTATTCCATGTTCAAGTTCAATAACTATATTTTCCAGATATAAAAGTTCTATCTCTTGCTTTTTTCTTCAAATTTGCCTAGTCTTTTTAAAGGCTTTTTGTTCCTTTCTATGATTCCTGAATTATGTCTTCAACATTTTCAGGCTGGGCACGGTGGCTCACGCCTGTAATCCCAGCACTTTGGGAGGCTGAGGCGGGCAGATCATGAGGTCAAGAGATCGAGACCATCCTGGCCAACATGGTGAAACCCCATCTCTACTAAAAAAATACAAAAAATAGCCAGGCATGGTGGCACGTGCCTGTGGTCCCAGCTACTCGGGAGGCTGAGGTGGAAGAATAGCTTGAACCCAGGAGGCAGAGGTTGCAGTGAGCAGAGATTGCGCCACTGCACTCCAGCCTGGCGACAAGGCAAGACTCCATCTCAAAAAATAAATAAATAAAATAAAATAAATAAAAAACTTTCAGAGACACTTATTTTTCGGTTTCTGTCTGATAATTCTATTTTCTAATTTCCACCCCAGGCAGGGACATCAGAACACTGGGTCCCAATCAGCCCCACCTCAGCCACCAGCAGGGCACAGGTTTCAAGGAGCGCAGGCGACTAGGGAGTTGAAGCTGCTCCTGCCCCATCGCTGGTGTCCTGACATGGAGTTCCTGTCCGCGAGAGGCAGGCTGCAAGGAGGAAGAACTCCACAGCTTTGCCAGATGGGACTCACTTTGTCGGGAACTGGTGTGAGGGAGCTCACGCCTAAGGGTGTTGTTGACCAGGAAGGAGCTCTGGGTGGTGATGGGTGCAGAGGGCAAGGTGCCCAAGGCTCCTGGGAAGACAGTAAGCCCCTCTGGCCCAGGAATGGCTCCCAGGAAGCCGCATCCCTGGCAGTCTGGAGGCTGTACGCACATTCAAGGACGTGCCCCCCCAGGAGTGAGCAGAGGGACCCTGTAAGCGACTAGTCCTTGGTGGTGCCTCTCGGAAGGCAGAATGGAGGTTGAAAATGTAAACACGCTGAACCTGACAGCTACCTCCAAGCCAGAGAGATCCAGTGGTAAAGGGCAAAAACTCACTGGCCAAGGAGGCATTAAGAATAATTGCTGACCAATAATGAACTTACGCAGATCCAAGTAGCCAGGCTAAAAGATAAAAACAGGAAAAAAAGAGCAAGGGGGCACATCAGAGGCTGCACATAGCCAGAAGCGGACAAGGAGAGAGGCTACATGGTTCAGTGCCAGGTCCATAAACAAAGTTGTCAAGCAAATACTAATCCCTGGTTGCTACAGGACTATCCAAAATGCCCAATTTTACACACACACACACACACACACACACGATACATTCAAAGAACGAGGAAAGCATGAGCCACACAACAGAAACTGCTTTGAAAAGCCCACATGTACTCGCATGTAAAGAATTCATAGGAGCCATTATGCAGCTAGTGCTCGACTTACAACCACGATTGGTTCCAACAGACCGGTCGTAACACGATTTGGTCGTTAAGTTGAGTAGGCTATATGCACGCGGAGATGGTAGTGGTGCCGGAAGCTGGTCCGCACTGTCGTACGCCCAGCTAGGCAACGTTTGCGCTGCCAGACGCGGAGCAGTCGTGGCTAGCGATTGTGGTCGTAAAGTCGAACGGTCGTTAAGTTGCATAGGTCGTAAGTCGATCAATACCTGTATATAGTTCCAAGGACTAAAAGAGACAAAGAGGCCGTGTCTAAAGAACTAAAGGTAGGCATGACGGCATTCTCATATCAAACAGAAAACATCAGTAAACAGATAGAAATTTTTTTTTTTGAGATGGCACTTTGTTGCCCAGGCTGGAGTCGAGTGGCGTGAGCTCGGCTAACCACAACCTCCGCCTCGTGGATTCAAACGATTCTCCTGCCTCAGCCTCGACCCCTCCCGGAGGCGGCGCCCCGCAGCTCACCCACCCCGGCCACGCGGCGCCCCCGGCCTGCGCCTCCCCCCACTCACCTTCCTCCCGGCCGAGGCCGGCGGAGGGGCCGCCTCCGGGGCAGGGGGCGCGGGGCCGGGGCCGGCCTCCCCGTTGGGCCTCACGGCAGCCTGGTGTACGCGGGCGCGCAGCCCCCTCACTTTCCCCATCTTCCCAGCGGAGCTCCGCGAACGCGCCTACCGGAAGCTGGTCCTGCGCTCTCGGCGCCCGGCGGAAACGCGAGCCACGGCTGCCGGGATCCGCGCGGGCGCCGGAAGAGCCCGGAAGCGGCTCTGACGGGCGCTCAGCCTTCCACCGCCGCCCCGGGGAGAAGCAGGCCGCAGCGCCAGGGTGGCGCGGAGCACGAGAAACGAGTTTCGATCTCGATCGTGGGGTCCCAGGGCCGGGGTTGGGGATGGAGAGGACGCGACCTCCGCGGCGGTCCAGCTGGCCTCTTTAAAATTCTACATTTGAGACGGCGTCTGGCGCTGTGTCCAGGCTGGAACGCGATGGCGCGAAGTCGGCTGACTGCAGCCTGCACCCCCAGGGCGCCGGCGAGCCTCCCGCCTCGGCCTCTCCAGAAGCTGGGAACACCGGTGGGCACCGCCACGCCCGGCTAATTTTTATTAATGTTTTGCTAGAGCCGGGATCTTGCTGTTACCCACGCTGGTCTCAAACGCCTGTGCTCCAGTGATCCTCCCGCCTCAGCCTCCCAAAGCGCTGGGATTGCCAGCACGAGCCACGTCGCGCCTGGCCACCATAGTCCATTCGACCTTACCTTCATGTCAATTTATTTTTCAGTGTTCCATTTAGTCCTCAGAACAGTTCCTTAGAATTGGGTGTTGCTCCACTCACATGGGAAACATAGCAGCGAGGTAACGGGCTGGGTGCCGTGCTCATCTGACTGCTTGCACCCCGTGCTGTCTGTGCTGGGGTGCGTTAGGGAAGAGAGACCACAGGTAAGAGGCAATGCCTGTCCTCAAGGAGCGCCTGGTTCTCATGGAGCCACAAAGCTGACATGTGGAGAAGAAACTATGGAGCAGGTGCTGTTTGGGGGCCACAAAGGAAGCCTGCCAAGTCCACGCCCAGCAGGTAATGGCCACACCTCTACCCTGCTTTCCCACACTGGGCACCAGCATTCGCCTGCCCAGGATCCATAGTGAAAACCCATCCACACAAAGTGCACTCCGGAGAAGAGTAGCGGGTCCCGGGCAGAGCCACACAAGTCACAGAAGCCACTCACAGCTCAAGGTGGTAGCCTCTAGGATATATATTCAAGGCAGCGCAACTGGCTGGAAGTCGTGTCTACTTACATCCTGAAAGACCTATTGAGCATTCACAAGCCATTCTTTGTACTCTCCAACAAGATTTGTTCTCAATGACTCTACCTAGGAATGCTGCTGGCTGTGAACACTCCAGCGATGAAAACTGCAGAGGCTGGTGTGTCTAGAGTTCCTTCAGGGTGCCTTCAGCATCTAAACCCAGCGACTGTTGAGGTGAAAGGGCTCATCTTTACATACCTCGTGTAAGGCTGGTTTCCTCGCGGAGAGTTCAAACACGCCCATCTCCCTTCCCGCTTGAAAATTACATTATCAGAATATGCCCATCATCTAGCTCCGCCTTGGAAATCCCCTCTGCACTTGGCACCTAGCCCCACCCTTGGAAATCCCCTCTGCACTCAGCACTTAGCCCGTTCTCCGGAAATCCCACCTACCTACCAATAGCAGCTCACCCCATGCACATCCTGTTTCTCCAAAGCCAATCGAACGCCTTCACTCCCTATAAAACCCCACTCCTGAGAGGAATCAGGAGTGACTTCCCTGGCCCCTCTCCTCCTGTACAACAGAACCTCCCTCGGGAGCTGAATAAATTGGCATCTAATTTTCTTGTGTTGGCCTCAGTTTCCTCGTTTTTAACTCGGCAATAAACCTATGGAGAATAAACTTTACACTTTGGATGCAGGGGAATGTCTATTGTTTTATCCACCTGGATCCCTCTACCTGTTACCTATTCCGGCGCGAGTTTACTTCATGGGATTGTCCCTGTTTTTAAAGACTGTATTTTTTAAAAATCAGCCTCCTCTTCCACTGCCAGCCCAGTATTTGAGACTGCTGTGGTTTGACTGTTGGTCCTATCTGTTGAAATGTAACTGCCGTCATACCAGTATTAAGATGTAGTAGCTTGACGCTACCATTAGGAATGAATTAATGTTATCATGGGAGTGGATTTGTTGTCAACGTATTTTTTATAAAAGGACTAGTTTGTCCCCCTCTTGGCACACTCTTGCCCTCTCTGCTTTTCCACTATGGGATGACACAGCAAGGTCCTTGCCAGTTGCTGGCCCTTCAGTCTTGGACTTCCCAGTCTCCAGAACCATAAGCCAATGAATTTCTGTTCATTATATAAATTACGAAGTCTGTGGTATTCTGTTACAGCAGCACAAAACAGAGTAAGACGGAGACAAAGATACTTACCTGTGTATTGGAAACATGCTTAGTGCCACAGAGAAAAATCAGCACTGAGACAAAGGATCTCTCAGCAAGCAGTTTTTTACTTCCTGGACTGCAGGAAGGGGACTCTCGCCAGCCATCTTGCCGCAGGAGTACAACGAACAGATGAAAAGCAGACATATTTATCCCTTATGCATTTGGGGTTCTCCTTACTGCTATGTCTGATCTCCACTGGCTGGAACCAGACCTCACAATCTAAACTAAAACCTGATTGACTAATAAAACTTTTCTAAACAGGTAAGAGGCATAGGCTGTGAGCTGGGACATGCCTGTTAGCACAACCAGCACAGATCTCTTGGTTAAAGTACAAGGACATAGAATGTACTACACACCTGTAAGCATGGCATGTCTACCAGCTACATAGGATAGGGCTTAACAAAGAGTTATTAGCAAGTTCATTCTTTAACAAAAAAGGAAACTTTGAAGAAGAACTTTTTTACTTGCCCCGTGTACAAAGGAGGAAGCTTCAAAAGAAGCCATTCATGTATGGGTGGGGCTGCAGAAGGACCGAAGCAGAGAATCCCTCAACAATAAGGAACTGTGTTAATCAGGTAACTAATTAATTAAACAAACAATTTTTAAGAGATAGGGTCTCACTCTGTTGCCCAGGCTGGAACACTGGTGCAATAATACCTCACTGTAATGGTGACCTCCTGGGCTCAAGTGATCCTCCCACCTCAGCCTCCTGAATAGCTGGGAACACAGGCATGTGCCACCACACCTGGCTAATTTTTTTGTGTTTTTGTAGAGACACAATCTCCCTATGTTTCCCAGGCTGGTCTTGAACTCCTGGGTTCAAGCAGTCCTCCCACTTCAGCCTCCCAAAATGCTGAGATGATGGGCGTGAGTCACCACACCTGGCCCCAGATTTTCTTTTTAAAAAAGTAATATAGGAAGCAAATATCCACCTCCCTCCTCTTAGAGTCCTGGCTGGGCCTGGGAATTAAATTGAAATAAGGTGGATTGGCAGGAGAAATGTATACAAATGTAATATAACTTTTATGTGGCATAGGAGCCTCATAAGGAAGCAAAGACCCAAAGAAGTGATGAAACCTATGTGCTTTTGCACGAGCTTGAACAAAGAGGCAGTCATGGAAAGTAAACCGTATGGGGAGGCTTAAGGAAGATAGGAATTACTTTAATTAATGTCTGTTTGTATAGAATCCTGTCAGCTATGACTTACCTCCCTGTAGAGAATATTTCTTTGCCTGGTACAGCGAGGGCATCTTTCACGTGGGCATTTTTATCTGTCTTCAGGAAGAAAAGGAGAGATTCAATGACACTCTTGCCTGTGCTGTCTTTCAAGTGCCTTAGGTAGAAGTAATCCTCAGGTCACAGTGGCAGGATCAGCGACCCTTTGATCCCAATGGAAACGCCCTAAGAGCTGTTTGCAGTGAACAGTTCCCCTTCTACCCCTGACCCCAGACCATAGTTCCCTCCCACTTGAAATCATGGTTATAGATTTCCTATCGCCATTCTAGAGACTTTTATACAAAGAGAGTTTTATCTGTGAAAGCAATATTTTCTGGTGATCCTGTGGTTCACACCAAATAAACCTGACTCTTCCCTGCTCCACGCCTGGCTTCTCTTACGTCATAAAGATCTTCACGTTTGCCTCCACTCCCCCAGCAGTCCACAGCGGCTGCAGAGGACACTGGTTGTGGCTGTGGCTCCATCAGTTCCCACATGGCTTGTTCCCCATCTCCTGCTGTAACTGACATGCTTGCATGCACACTGCCTTGTGCATACAAACAGAAGCTTTCTAAAGAGAAGTTTCAGGAAAGACATAGTGATATGTTTGGCAGTTGGTGTATATACCAAGCTCAGGCCTGCTGCTCTCCTCCTGTTGGAACCAGGAGTGGCCAGAAGGCTCCTCTCCGGGCCTCATGGGGAGAAACCCTGGTCTGATGAGAGGCCTGGACCCTGCCCGTCAGGACCAAAGCAGCACGTGCGAGGACGCTGCGGGCCAAGAGGCGGCAGCAGTTACCAGCCCCAGCCCCGGCCCTGCAGCTGATCGTGCAGGTGACGCCCCGCCTGGGTGTCTTCAGTGCAGCCTCTGCTGGACAGAAGCACCAAGTCCCCCCCACTCTGACCCCGGGGCTGGAGCTGGTAGGTGACACCCTGCACTCTTATTTGGGATTCTGCTCCTCTTTCTGACCAACAGGTGAAGCCTCAGGGTGCAGAGAGGGGGCTAGGGGCCCGCTGGGCCTTGTGGGGCCTCACGGCTGTCCAGACCCAAACCACGCGGTGTTGCTCTGCCCCAGCCGTGGCCAGCGGTGAAAGGGACAGAGGGAATCTCTGATGCCTGCAGGGGTGCTCTGACCCCTCAGGAAGGCTGCCCAGGTGTCCACCTTCAGAGAGACCCACAGATGCCCCATGTGGAGGTACACAGTATGAGTGGCCGGATCCTTGCAGAGCCAGCGCTGGGCTTGGACCCCTGCAGGTGCAGTGTCCCTCCATCCCTTAGTAAAAATGCAGCAACTTAGAGTCAGAAAACCTTGGTTCAGCCTGGGACAGGCATAGAGGTCTCAGCAGGGGCAAGACCTAAGATCTAGTGGGAACTATGTGGTGTCCCCCAAGGGGCCCAGCTCTCTCCAAGAGCTCTGGGCCTAGGGTGGGGGTGGTTGTCGGTTCTGCCTGTGCAGTTCCCACTAAGTGATAGGTTCCTCCCACTCAGCTCCTCCCACTCGCTTCCCTCCTTCAGTGGAGAAGCCTGTCCAGGTGTCACTGCCTCCAGGAAGCCATCTCTGATTTCCCTGGTTGAACCGTGAGACTTGCCACACCTCACATGCATCGCTCTTGTCCCTGGAATTGTAACTGTAGGTTTTCCTCTCTCCTGGAGGACAAGGAAGAGGCTTTCCACTTGGGCCTCCCTAGTGGAAGCGCAGCTCCTGACAAACCTGATGAAAGTTATCAAAAAGAAGAACATGGAGGAGGGATGTGAATAACAATCCTGGATGCCTGCGGTTCCAAGCTAAGATGATGTGATGTTCCCAGAAAACAGGGGGAACGGCCTGCCTGCATCACAGCTCTGTCCCAACCCGGGCCCTGGGTGCTGGGCGGACTGAGCCCAAGGACACCCGCCTCACCTGGGACCTGTGAGGGGTGCGGTCTTGGACCCCACCCAGACCTGCTGAGTGAGAGACCCTGAGGCAGGACCCAGCCTCCTGCATTTTCCCAAGTCCCCAGTGGCTTCCCAGGCATGAAGACCACCAGTGAGAGGCGGAACTGGCAGGAGCCTGTCTCCAGCCCCTCCCCACCCCAGCCTGGCCCTGCCTCGTGGCACCCAGGACATGGCTGTGACCCGTAGACTCCACTCACAGCCCCCTTCTCTAGGAGCCATGCAAAGTGTCAGCCAGCCAGGCCTCCAGAAGGCAGTCACCACATGAAAGGCAGTCACCACCTGCGGGTTCAGTCCTGCAACAGCCAGATGCCAGCACATGGCCCATGTCCGGTGCCCGATAGCAGGGAGTCATGACTTGGCAATGATCCACTCTCCAAGGAGCACGGGGGGCCCTGGGGTCAGGGCTGCTCAGCTTCGCCGGCCTATCTGCCTCCTTCCAGATCTCCGGGGCTCATGTCCAAGACAGGGAGATGCAGCTTTGCCCCCGCCTTCCTCCCTCGGCTCTGCCAGTGCTGGCTGGGCAGCCTGGGCTTCAGAGCTGGCTTCTGCCCACACTTTCTCTGGGAAAGGAAAACAAACACATCTCAGATGTGTTTTTAAAAATCCTGGTTCCCTCCCTCTGTCCCATCGTCCGCCTCAGTGGCCTCCTCTCTCCATGGCTCTTACCCCACACTCTGCCACTGCCACAGTTTCACCTGTGCAGGGCATTTGTCTCCACCTGAAACTCCTGAAAGTCTTGAAATGGATTTCTAGGTCCCAGAGGACCCAGGCAGCACATCCCCCTTCAGAATAAAGGGCATCCGGTGTCTCCCAGCACCTGTCCAAGCCACAGCCCTAGCTCCCCTCCCTGTCTCTGCAGCCGGAGGGTCCCCTCAGCCACCCCAAGTCCCCACCTGGGCTCCTGCCCCGCCCCTGGCCAGCAGCGCCTTCTCCACCCGGGCCCCTCTGCTCACTGCTCCCCTCACCTCCCCAGGGGACGGGATAGGGTGGGCAGGCCTTGACCCTGAAAGCCTCGCCCTGGCCTGAACCTTCTCAGAGCGCCCCCTCCGCCCTCCGCCGGCCCCGACCCGGTGCTCTGCTGCATCCTTCTCCGGGCTCCTCTGACCCATTTCCGAGTCACCTGAGGGCGCTGCTTCCCCGCGGCCGCCCTGGGTTACTGCGGAGCCCGGGCCTCAGCCTCCGCGCCCGAGACCCCAAGAGACCCCGGGGAGCCCGCCGGGAGGCGCGGGCTCTGCCCCCGGGTCCCAAAGCACCGGCTGCGCCTTAGGAGGGACGGCGACGTCCACCCACGGGACCCCGCGGCTGCTCCTCCCGCTCCGGCAGCCCGGACGCCTCGCGAGGCCCCATCCACCCGCCAGGAGCCGAGCCTGGAGCACCCGGCCCTGGACGCCCTCTCAGTGCTCCCGGCCGCTGTCCCGCGCCGCCCCCGCCTGGTCTGAGTGTGGGTCTCCGGCCTCCGCGCTTCCCGGGAAAGGAAAGCTACCTTCGCGCGCCCCAGGGAGGCGGCCGGGCTCGGAGCGGGGAATCGGAGCGCACTGCAGGTTTTGGGCAAAGTCTGCCCTGCTTGAGCCTCAGTTTCCCTGTCTCTACAGTGGGGGCTGCCAGGGGGTTTTCTGAGGACCCACATGAAGAGCTCCAGGAAGCGCCTACTCATGGCACCTGCTCAGTGGCTGCCCGGGGCTGGCTGGGAGCAAACGCCAAGGGGTACGGCTGGGGGCGGGGCCGGGGCCGGGTTGCTGTGTCGGCGGGGCGGGGGGAGGCTCTGCGCACCTGCAGAGCAGCTCCAAGCAGCGCTGTGGGCGGGGGGAGGCGGGGGAAAGAAGAGGCGGCGTCCTCGGTCTTCGGGACCCACCCTCGTGCCCAGGGAAGAGGCTCAGGGAAGGAGGCGCCACGCTCCAGGGCACCCGCTGGGACCTGCCGCAGCCTCTGTGCCAGCGGCTCTATCCCCCGGGCCACGGATTGAGAGACTGAGGCAGGTGCGAAGCCCGCCCCGCCCGCGCCCCCCCCCCCCCCCCCCCCCGCCTCTGCCAGGCCTGATTCCACAAGGGTGACCCCGGCCACCTCCCGGCAGTTCTCCTGGAACCCGGGGCTAGGAGAAGGTGAGCCGCTGCCCGCCGGGGGTCCGGATTCGGGGGTCGCGGGTGCCGGGTGGACGCGGTGGCACTTGGGTGCTGTTGACTCACAGTCTCACTGTCCCACCAAGGGATCCCCCCAGCTGGGCGGGGCCCTGGTGAGCCTAGGCCGGGAGGGGACAGCTGGTTTCGAGAGACCTCTGCCCCAGCGACCTGTAGCCTTTGGCTTTGGTTCAGGGTCGTCTGGGGTTAAAAATGATCATTTGGGTGCCTGCAGTACGGTTTGCAGTCTGAGCATCTCCATAACCCACACATTCTCATAACGAATTTCCGAGAAGCGTCTCGGCTCGCATTCCTCCCTCTTGGCTCCTGGGACGCATTGCCAGACCCCACCTGTGCGCCTCTGTGCACAGGGACAGGGATGGCCCGGTTCTGGCTGTCCACGCACAAGGATGCTACATGAAGCTTAGATGCAAATCTTTTGGGCTGTGGAGTGTAGGGGGCCAGCCCCCACACACCACCTGTGGGTACCCCGAGTTCAGGGGCGACAAAGGAATGAGAAAAAGGTTAAGAATGCATAAGTGGGACCAGGGAGCCACTGCATGAACTAGAGGAAGCAGAGGCCCCGAGCTCTGGTGTCCATCGTATTTATTGAACACAATCACTTTTATCTATAGTGCACGTGGCTGGGTGAATTGGTGAAGGTGCGCCACATGTAAGATTGACAGCAGTGGCTGTGTATGTGGGTTTCTCAAGAGCTAAAAGCATATGTTTATCAATTGACAGTGCAGCTTGTGGGAGCGGGCTTAGCAAGGAGCCTGCATGCCTGGTTACATTCCTGTGCATCAAGGGAGTGTGATGTCCTTGGGCACCGCGTTTGGAATATCAGAGCTTAGGTCACTGTTCCTGGGAATATGCTGGCATAGAGAGGCCTTCCTCCCCGTTTCTTTTATACATTACTCATAACCAGTTTATGTCAGGGCACTACAAACCCTTCTTCCGTTGCTGCTTCCCCCAACAGTGGAGTTCCCCCATTGGGAAACTCTTGCAATAAAAATAATCGTGCTGTAATTCCCAGGGACCATTGAGAGGAAGTGGTGAGGGCGGGGGTGGGGCAAGGGGAAGAGGCTGGGGGCGGAGGCCAAGTCTAGATTTGAGCAAGCCTTGTGCTGGGGTGGGTGGGAGACCAGCCTCGCCCAGCAGAGCCTCTTCCCAGTGCCCTGGCGGCAGCGCCCTCGGGTCGGGTCCCAGAGCCCAGGGGTCCTTCCAGCTTTCCGTGCCTTTTCCTTACACTTTGTCCCTTTCCCCAGCTAGAGAGGGGCAGGCTTCCGGGGTCTGGGTGCTTTTGCTTTGAAGCCATTTAACTTGATTTATAATAACACGCTTTTCTGATTATAAAATGAATACATGGCTACTGACTACCATAGACAATTTGGAAAAGACAGAAAACAGTTGACACATTAAAATCTCCTCTGTCCTACCTCGTGGAGACCGCGGTGAAGAGCCTTCTGGGGCCTCTGTTCTCCCTGGCCATGCAGCCTTTCTGGGCTTGGAATTGCTGCTGCTAAAGTGTGAAAGGATCAGGCAAGGCTGTCGGCCCTGCCAGGTCTCCCCCACGTGTGACTTCATGGGGTCCCACCCAAATCGGAGTAAGAGACCCACTCAGCCACACCCCTGCTCTGCTGGCCCCAGGAGGACATGCTTAGCATTGTATCCACCCTCCCCACATTCACCAGCCCCACTGGGCCTCACGCCCCTCCCACCCCTGCCCCTGCTGCATTCACCAGCCTCCCTGCCCCTACACCCTCCTCCCTCAGCAGTCTCTGGGCCCTGTCCCCTCTGCCACCCGTGTTCCCAGGCTCTGCAGTCCCCACACTTTGTCTGCTATGCCTGGGAAGCAGAACTGTCACCCCATTTGCAAGTGGAAAAAGGGTGCCTTTCAGGAACTCACCTGAGGCTGTGCAGCCCCCTGCCCAGCTGGTGCCTTGGGCTGTAGCCCCGGCTTTCTGCAGCCCAGCATGCGGGCCACTCACCTGCCCAGCTCCTCTGTGTGTGAGTTGCTGCTGTTTCTATCAGAAAGAAAAACTGACAGGGCGAGGGAGGAGGGAGGGCCGCCCTCTCGCCTGCAGGGGCTTCCTGGGTGGAGGGGCCTGGACCTTCCTGGTCAGGTCCCTCTGAGCTGAGAAGTTGTCTCTTGGCCAGGACCCAGAACTGGAGGAGGGAGGGGCAGGGGGGAAAGGTCCCTGCCTGGGGGTGCTGCCTTCCAGGGGTTCCTGGTGGGGCAGAGGCTGGAACACCCACTCAGGCTTTCCGGTGGGAACTGGGGAACCAGGTGAGGAGCCTGAGTCCCCTCAGAGGAGTAGTCATTTTGAAACTGGAGGGAGAGGCTAAGAGAGGAGGCTGTGGAGAGACCTAGTGTCGCCCAGGGGCCAGTGTCAGAGTTCAGCTTCTCCAGCTCCTCCCCACCTCCAGTGTTCTCCATGTCCATGCCATTCCCACATGCCTGTGTGCCACCCCTTCCCCCACACACTGTCCCCACTCCCCATGCCCCATTTCCTCTTCAGAGAGTCACTGGTCTAGAACAGAGACCTACAGATTTCAGCCCTTTGCCCTTAGGCTGGCCCTCCACCTGCTTTCGTCAATAAAGTTTCATTAGGACACAGTCATACTCATTCACTAACAGAAGGTCTATGGCTGCTCTGCTGCCACAATGGCAGAGCTGAGTACAGGGTAGTCACAGCAGAGACCATGTGGCCAGCAAAGCCCAAAACACATACCGTCTGCCCTCCAGGGAGGAGCTTGCCCACCTCCATCCTAGCAGAGGCATCGCAGCTCACTTTTACGGATCACTGTCTCTGTGTTCTGTGACACCCAGGCCTGTACCCTGAGGCCCAGTGAGCTCTGCAGTCGTCACCCTCCTCACTGTAGGGGGAGGCCCCAGATGCCACCCACGGGACATATTCATGTGTGAAGTGTCACACTATGGCCCAGACGGAACAGCTCCCCATCAGTAGGGACACAGTGGGGTGAAGGTAACACGTGGGCCACATGGGCCAGCCTATGGGCTAACCCAAGATGGAAACTGTGTGGGCAGGGTTTGGGGGGGCCGAGGGGCATGGGGCAACACAGATGTGCTCAGACAGGGTGGGTAATTAGATTTGATGGAGGCTTAGGGTCCCTGAGCTTCGAAAGCCCCATGGAAACCAAGTCACAGGAACCAAGGATGAGGAAGGCTGCCCCGACTTTCCTTGGAGACATCTCGTGGTGAAGAGGGAGACCCAGGTATCTCAGATCAACTTCCCCTTTTCATTCCTAAGACTGTAAACTTTCCTTTTCATTCCTAAGACTGTAGACCGAAGCCCCTTTCATATGTAATTCCTAAGACTGTAAACAGAGACCATTTTCATGTTAAGCTATAAACCTAAGATTCTTCCACATGTGACATCTAAAGTATAAGCCTATATAAAGAAGGAAGCTTCCTTTGTTAGGGGGACTTGGATATTAGGCAAATATGCCACCTGGCTCCTGGCCAAATAAACTCCTTCCTCCAATATTCAGTGTCGGAGAGATCTGTTTCCCGCGGCCGCTCCTGCAACAGTGGCTCCGTTTGGGCGGGGGCAGAAACCATGAACTGAATAGGAAAGGAAACATGTGAAGTGTCAGGAAGAAGAGGGGCATGCTCCGAGGGAGAGCCCACTCTGAGTCCAGGGCAGAACTTCAGTGAGGGTAAGGGCACTCACCCACCCGACCTGACTGCTCTCTGGACAGCTCTGCTCTCCGGTCAGTGGCCTTCATGGGGTGCAGGGAGGGGTGGATGGAGGAATGAGGCTGGAGTGGTCTGGGAAGGTGGCGCAGCTGGTTTTGGGGGATGAGGGCATTGCCTCCCACCGTCCCACCACGTTAGAGCTGCTGCTTTCCATTCACTGCCGGGCCAAGGACCGGCTAGAATGACAGTTCTTTATCTGGTTTCCTGAGTCCATCATGGCTTAACTGTTTTTCTCGCTCCATATCCTTTGAATATCGAGCCTCTTCCCACCCCCAGGGGGCCTGGAAGACACTTCTCAGCATAACCCTCCCCCACCCTGCCCAGCCAAGGCTGCCGGTGGTCAGTCTATCCCTGGACGGTGTGACAGGTGAGCCTGCCTCCGAGCCCTTGCTAGGCTGTGAAATCTTCCTTTGGGTGGGTCAGGGAAGCAAGAATGCCACCTCCTCAGCTCCCTCCCTCAAGGAGGGGTCACACCCTGCAGAGGACGGTGGAGGGAGAAAATGTGCTCCCAGCTGCGGGGGGCGGAGGTGGGGGGTAAGTCCAGGATGGAGGCTCCCCTAGCTTCTTGCACCCCTCCCTCCTTCCCACCCTCACCCGGCTGCCCGGGCAGATCTCCATTTCTGCATTGCACTCCTCGGGTGGCCTGGGACCAGCCCTGGTGGTCGGCCTGTTTGTGTGGATCTGTGGGGGATCCCAGACAAAGAGCTTATTGGAGCACCCCACGTGGGGTGCCCAACCCCATTTCCTGCCCCGTGCCCTCCCCACTCGCCTCTAGGGAGTGTGTCATCTCCTCCTCCACCAGCCCTCCCTGCAGCCCCTCCCCCGCCCCTGCCCCCAGCCTGCGAAGGGAGCTCAATCAACCCTGCAGAAGGAAGTCACAGTGGGAAGTGAGAAGAAAGAAGGCCTACATGGGTGTGAGGTTGGGAGGAGGCCTGAGCTGGGTTGGAGGGGAGTTTGCAGCCAGGTGGGAGGGCAGGCGGAGAGAGAAGTGAGGTGCTGACGCTGGGGAGGGAGCATCGTGGCCCTGCAGTCCCCAGGGTCCTCGAGGCAGTGCTCTCTAGGCAGGAAGGGGCTTTCTGCCAGTTGGACATCTACTGGGGCCAGACCCCAGGGGTCCTCTGGGCTGGTGTAGACCCCGTTCTCATCCCTTATAAACCCCTGACCTGACTCTTCCCAAAATATTGCAGCTCCCCAATCAATCCCCTCTGTGAAGTGAGCCCAGAACCCCCACCCCGCTGGCCCTCTCTATACTTAGCGTCTTTCTTAACCTTCGGACCCGGCTCCTATGGGGTCTCCTCTGTGGAAACTTCGAGAATCCCACCTTTCACAGAGAGACCTCTTCCTAAGTGCTGGGGCTCAGTGTTACCGGATGGAAGCTGGGTGAAGGGAAGCTGGGGGGCCCAGGCCAGTGTCCAGGACAGGAGGGCGGGAGAGCAGCCCTCAGGTTCTGAATCTCTTTCCCTGTCTATGCACGCTGGGCTGCCCCCAGTGCCTCCACGCCTGGACGCTGGGGTCCCTCTCATCTGCCCTGTGTCATGGCCGTCGGCTGACGTGCTTGTCTCCTGAACCCAATTGTGTGTTCTGGAGCACAGGGTTGGGCAGCCTCGGAGCACTCGGCTCTGCCAGGCCAGCACAGGGAAAGGCTCGACCAACCAACCCCTGAGGGCATCAGGTCAGTTTTCTGGAAAACATAAGTGAAAGTGACTGCAAATGGAATTTCTGGGCTGCCTGGCGGGAAAAGATTGTTCCCAGGATCCCGCTGCAGTCCTGCTCACCCATGCCAGCTTCGGAACCCAGTTTACCCACACCCGGCTCCAGAACATAGTTCACCCACACCGGCTCCAGAACCTAGCTCACCCATGCCCGGCTTTAGAACCTAGCTCACCCACGCTCTGCTCCGGAGCCTAGCTCACCCACGCTGGCTCCAGAACCTAGTTCTGTCATTGGGCAGATGAGAAACCATGAGCCGCTGTACCCAGATATGTGGCTCCTTTCACCTGCCTGACTCCCTCCACTCTCAGGGATGGACTCCTCGGTCCTGGCTTGGGATCCACATCCACCTGCTCCTGCGGCTGCTCAGCTGGCAGGGGCCTGGGAAGCTGCCCGGCGTGGCCCCCATGGGTGCAGGTGCTGCTACACTTCCTTCTGTGGCCCCCATTTCCTCATCAAAGTGCAAGGGCAGGCAGTGGGCCTCCTGGCTCCTTGGAGCCTGTGATTTTCACTCCGTGCAGCCGCACCTGATATTTTTACACTAAATGTACCAATTACTCACTTTTATTTCCACAAAGAAAAACATGCCTGGCCTCTGACTCCCAGCCTGTGCAATAGACAGGCATACCAGATGGGGGTAGTAAGATGAGTGAGTCCCTGGAATGAAGGTCTGGGTCCCGACAGCAAGGACATGGCTCCTGGAAGCCCCAGGGCCCCAGCCCCTCCCCTTCACTCCCTCCACCAGCCTCCTCTTTATAGGGTTTTAGGGGCTACACATGAAACACTTCGTTGTCCACTTACAATGAAATTAGTATTTTACCACTTCAAGTAAATGTAGAGAAATGTTACAACAGTGTAAGCTCCTTTACCGTCATTGCTTTCTGCTGTAGCTGTGACATATTTTACATTTATATACATTGAAAACCCCACCAATGTTATAATTTTTGCTCTCAACATATTTTAAAGAACGCAAGAGAAGAAAAGTGGTCCGTCCTATTTACCCAGATGTTACCACTTCTGTTGCTCTTTCTTCATTCCTGAGTTTCCAAGATGCCCTCTGGTATTATTTCCCTTCTGCCTCAGTTTTCTTTCAGAGCATGTTTGCTGGGATCTAATGTTCTTAGTTTCTCTTCATTTGAGAATGCCTTATTTTTTCTTAATTCATGAAGAACACTTTTGCTGGATATAGAATACTGGGTTGGCATTTCTTGTCCTTGAGCACTTTAAAATGTTTTAGTATCTTCTGGCCGCCATGGTTTCTGATGAGAAATGTGCAGTTCAAATGGGTGTTTCTCTCTGTGGAATATCATTTTTTTTTTGGTTGAAGCTTTTTAAGTGTTTTTATTTTTGGTTTTCAGCAGTTTTAACATGGTACATACAGGCTTGGTTTATTTTGAGTTTATCTTTTGGAAGTTCACTGAGCTTCTTGAATCTGTAAATTTATATTTTTACCAAATTTGTGAAATTTTCAGTCATTATTTCTTCAAATACTTCTTTCTGTACCAATCTTTTACTCCTCCTCTTCTCCAACTCCAATGAACAAACGTTATACCACCTGATATGATTCCACAGGTCTCTGAGGCTGTGTTCTTATTTGGATCTATTTTTTCCCTTTCTGTCATGAATATTGAATAATTTCTATTGGTCTTCAAGTTCACTCATCTTTTCCTCTGTGTTGGAAACAGATGCTTGGTGCCACAAAGAAAAAACAGAACTGAGACAAAATCCACCCCATGGTTCAAGTCTCTCAGCAAGCAATTTTTACTTCCTGGACTGCAGGAAGGGTACCTTTGCTAGCCATCTTGCCACAAGAGTACAATGAACAAAGGAAAAGCAGACATATTTATCCCTTAGGCATCTGGGGTCATCCTTACTGCTATGTCTGATTTCCATTGGTTGGAGCCAGACCTAGCAATCTAAACTAAAACCCGAGTGGTGAACAACTTAAAACTTTTCTAAACAGGTAAGAGGCATAGGCTGTGAGCGGGGACAGGCCTGTGAGCACGTCCAGCACAGATATCTTGGTTAAAGTACAAGGACGTAGAATATACTAGTTGCCTGTAAGCATGGCATGTTTAACAGCTACATAGGATAGGGCTTAACAAAGAGTTATTAGCACACTTATGATTTATTCTTTAACAAGAAAGGAAACTTTGAAGAGGAACTTTTACTTCCCATATTCTGTCTTCACCATTCTCCTGTTGAGCCCATTCACTGAATTTTTTTTTCTGTTATTGTATTTTTCATTTTTAATGTTTTTTTATCAAACATTTTTACCTTTGCATTTGTTTTAAGAGTTCTCATCTTTACTTCATCGAACATGTTTATAACAGCTGTTTTAAATGCTCCATGTGATCATTTCAGCATTGAGATTAT